CCGCCAGCCTGGTCCCGGGAAGAGGCGGAGGGCTGGGTGGCAGCGGGTAGCTGGTTCGTGCCATGCCAGGTGCAGGGTCTGCTGGCTGGGTGCTGGCAGGCTTGCATCTGGCATGGGCACCGTAGCCAGACCGTGCCCCTTTAAGGGCTCCAGGGCTGGGAGGGGGGCAGAAGAGTTTCCCTGGTCGTGCCCAGAGTGGCCATCAGGGAAAGCCGGGGAGGGCTAGCCTCCCACTAGTTCGAATTAAGTGGCTACACAGCCCTTAATTCGAACTACTTAAGTCGAACTAGGCGTTAGTCCTCGTAGAATGAGGTTTACCTAGTTCGAATTAAGCGCTCCGCTAGTTCGAATTAAGTTCGAATTAGCGGTTTGCCTGTGTAGCGCCTATTAAAGTCAATTCGAACTAACGTCTGTTAGTTCGAATTAACTTTGTAGTATAGACATACCCATAGAGATTCTGATGTTGCTATCTACATTTGACTTAGTTGACATGAAATCCACACTGACTTTCAGGGATTATGCCATTTGTGAACACATGTAATGACAACTGATTGTAGAGCATGCGAGCTGGGATCGTACAAGATACAGATAGCAGTGTATAGATAGCCCCAGTGGTCATCATAGCATGTATGATCACCTTTCCACTTGTATATATGTAAAATCAGAGCATCTTTGAAATCCTGTGGAAGTTGTTCCTCGCAGATGGTGATGTGAAATGGCGCATCAACTGGTTATCCTCAGCTTTATGAATCTTTAATGGGATTGCATCGGGGCCCACATGTTGTTCCAGATTTCATCTTCTTGATAACTTTTTTTGTACCTCATCAAGAGTTGACAGTATAACCATCTGATGAATCATTAGCCCACTGAAGAATCTCTCCAAGAACACTGATGTCTAGTTTAATACATTGCAGAATGTTCGACCTAGCGGTCGAGATGGACCCTGGTAGCTGTATACCCTGGAAGGGCTTTCGATTAATTCTCACACAGGGTGTGTGACTCAGCCAGAGAGCTGAGTTGCCAAAGAAGGCCTCAGAGTGAGTGCAGGCACATGCACGTGGCCAAAGGGGGACGCTCACAGGAGGTAAATGCTGCCCCATTGTACTTCAACATCAATTTTATTGTAACTTATAAGCTCTCTACCAATAATTGCTGACCCGTTTTCATGATGATCATCACTGTGTAGAAGTGTTTGTATATTCCAGGATGCAAAATGTAGTAGTCATTGCTTTTCTCTTATGACTGCAAAATTGGATATCCAGTTGAACATGGTTAACTAACAGGTGTCAACTGGAACACTCTGTATATAGGAATTGTTTTCTCACTCCTTCTTTCAAAGAAAGCAGCATTTACACATAATAGGAGTGTGTCCTCAATAGGACTGCTTTGTCACCTATGCAGGATACAACAGCTGCTGTTGTTTCAGTTCAGCAGAAAGACAACCACTGCACTTGGGCCGCTTACGTACAGGTTTGTGGCTAGATGCTTCCAGTGGTATCCTCCATGTGCATCCAACATCACTTGCCCATTGCCATAGGACTTTTATCAACAAGAGGTAAATTTGTAGCATCAAGAGATGTATCTTAACATATGAATAGATTTAAGTGAGACTGACTTGTGAGTTCCAACCCAACTCTCTCTTCTCATACTGACATTGTGACATGCGTACTGGCGGAGTGAGTGCAAGTTTGAGATCAGAGTTTACCTTCTCTTAGACAGATGTGCCTGAAAAGGCTTAGTGAGTTTGTATGCTCTGGTTTGAAATAAGAGTTTTCTTTCTGGATACTTTTGGTCCATGGCACCTTATTCTGTATTTTTCGGCGCAATCCCTCAGGATCACTGTAACCAATCGTTATTCTAGTGTAACACTGAGAAGAGAATAAGGTAAGCAAAGCATGATTTGGTGCAACATTATTTGTGGGGCTTTTCCTCACCAACCCGTAATGATCAGCTACACTACATAACTTTTATTTGCAAGAATAAGAATTTTTGGAATAATATTCTGAGTGTTCCAGAACCAAATTCCCAATAAGGACGTAAAATCCTGTTTAATTGGTTAACCAGCTAAATGTGATGTTCACATGATGGGGACATGCTGCATGGCGGGGGAGAGAGGGGTTCTGCTCCAGTGGCTGGGAACATTTGTGTTTTAATAAATTGGGTGCCACACTGGCACACATCCAAACCAGTGCACATGACCTCAATACTGGTACACAAGCGAAAACTCACTCCGCTCATGTTTGGAAAATCTTAGAGGGGACACTGGTCAAGATGTCAATTTTTATAAATCCAAACATAAATAGATTTGTCGAAGAATAAACAGGTTGCTTTGTTTGGATTCTAGAACAAGCAGGAAACTCTGTGGAGTAGTGCTTGTTATATTTTTGTAGTATGTAAAGCTAAACACTACACCCTGCTTACCATTTGTGCTATTCCTGGCAAAACCAGCATTCATACTGTTGCTCACAGCCTAGAAAGTAACTAACATGAAGGTACTTGAAGATGGTCTTCAATCTCAATATACCTTTCCTTTCTTACATATTTCAAAAAGAATTTTATTCTGCAAGATACCAAGCATTCTGTACTGTCACTGACTTCAGTGAGCGTATGCTCAGCCCCGGCACCACAGAAATGGAGATCTTTTGATGTAGCAGTACCCAGCCGGACTATGCATGCGCGGTGGTGTCTCGCGGCGTTCGCGCCACTCTGAGCACGTGCGTGGTCCAGCTCCCGCCAGTTCCTCTCGACTGCCTCAGGCTGCAGACAGAGCAACTGCCTCTCTCCGATTCTTTTTCGCGTGAGATCCCCAACCCTTATCTAGCCACAGTTTTTGAGATTCCCTGTTTATTTCCTCCTTGTTCGTTTACCTTTGTCTCCTAGTTTAAAAAAAAAATTTTTTTCCTTACCTCACAGTTCGTTCCCTTTTCCTCACGTACCCATCCTCTTACCTATCCTCTTACCTCGGTCCTTCTTCTCTGTACATAGTTATCTCATAGTGACTCATTAGTCCGTTATTCATTTTAAAAAAAAAGTCCCTGTTTTCTTCCAGTTAACCTTTTTTCCCCAGACTGCAAACATGCCGATGTCACTAGGGTTTAAAAAGTGTGTCTCATGCCAAGAGGTGATGCCGGCATCTGACGGGCACTCATCCTGTATACGTTGCCTCAGGGAAGCCAACGTCCCTCAAAAATGCCCGCATTGTTCAAAATTGACAGCAAGGGCCAGACACGACAGGGAGATCAGGCTGCGCAAGCTGCTATTTGATAAAGCCCCCCAGCCGCTGCGTTCGGAGGCAGCTACAGAACACCAGCTGCACAAATGCAGGGCTTCTTCGCCTACCACCTCTTCTCCTAAGAAATCGAAAACATCCCCAACAAGATCCTAATATCCCACACCCCAGGATCAGCATAGGGGATAAGCCAGGGATTTCAAGCATTGAGAAATCGTGGCCAAGAACTTCCACCGCATCAAAAACAAAAAAGCTGACTCAAGCAGCACCAGCACCGAGAGTTTTAGCAGCACCGCCTCCGGCTATGTCCTTGGCACCGCCAAATATACCGGCACCGAGAGCGTCTTCGGCACCAATGACATCTTGGGCACTGGTGACACCGGCACCGGGATGGGCACTGATGCTTCCCCATCCAAGCCACTCTGCGGCACCGGGCGTTTCAGCGCTGGCAGCACCGATTACTCCCATGAACAGCACCACTGAACTGGCGTCTACTATTCTGTGGTGCCAAAGCCGCTCGTCATCCTTAGCCTTCTCACCGGAACCATCCCCCTCTCCACCACCAAGATCTTCCAGACCACTCCGCGAATACCGACACCGGTCTTACTCACCTCACGATAGGCTGCCGTCTCCCTACTTCACTTCCTAAAGGGATGACCATCACCATCATTATAGACACTGCTCTGGTTCTCCACACTCTTACATGTGTTTCTACACCCGATCCCGATCACCTCGCTCCCCTCATAATCACCAGTGGCATAGGCGATCACCTCTGGATAATCTCTACCGATATGACTACAGACCTCATGATTCCTGCAGCAGATATTCCCACTACTATAGACCATGTTCACATGGCAGATCATCCTATGAATATTGCTCTTCCAGACATTCACCTACACCAGCCCCACCCACACCAACAGGGCAGTCACCACCGGACTTAACATCTGAACCAGACAATACCAACCTCACTATCTATGATCAACCTCCGGAGGTATCTCCAACCAATCACTCTTCGTCACCAGATGACGTGGTAATTCCTGGGGATATCTCTCCGCCTGACAATTTCTGCCAATTCCAGGATCTGTTTAAGAAGGTGGCGGTGACACAAGAGATCAAAATGGATGAATTAAGGACAAACAGCACAAACTGCTCAAGAATTTACATCCCCAGCATAGAGGACGGCTGACTATACCCTTGGATGACGCTATCCTGGAGGTCGCCAAAGAAATTTGGCAAATCCCAGCCTCCGCACCACCGGTTAGCAAGAAGGCAGAAAAGAAATATTTTGTGCCCCCGAAGGGCATGGAATTTCTTTTTACTCACCCCCCGCCTAATTCACTAGTAGTCGACGCAGCCCACCAAAGACTTAAGACTCCTCATTATAGACACATCTTCAATGATCGAGACTCGAAAAGGTTAGACATATTAGGGAGAAAGATATATACATCTGCCACACTTACGTTGAGAATCGTGAATTTTTCAGTGCATCTTTCGAACCACATCTTTGACACCTTTGCCAGATTTACTCCACTGATGGACCATTTGCCGGATTCCAAAAGGCCGATATTAAAATCTGTGGTGCAGATTTCTTCAAAGGATTTGTGCACGACCCTCCGAATGTTGGGCATGTACACACCTCCGTATAGAAGATGCCAGTATGTACCTTTCCAACGTAGGTACAATTATCCATACATGTGACAACACTGGCAGCAACAGCATCAACACCAACAATGAAATTTTGAACAACGCCCTCATCAATGACCACAAAGATGCTGAAACCTGCACAGATGGGTGCTAGAAATTGTTTGCACAGGCTACTCCATTCCGTTCCTGACTACCCCTCCCACTACCTTCCCTCCTTCCCGCTGTCCCTTTTCAGGGACCCATCTCACAAAGCACTGCTACAGGTTGAAGTTGCACATCTACGGTCACTGGGAGTAATCGAACCAGTCCCCGACAACTTCAAGGGGAGAGGCTTCTATTCTCACTACTTTCTCACACAGAAAAAGTCGGGGGATTGGTGACCAATATTAGACCTGCTACGGCTGAACAAATTTCTACGAAAACAACAGTTCAAAATGTTAACTCTTGCTGCTATAATTCCAGCCTCGACCTTCAGGATGCCTATTTCCACGTGGCAATCCACCCAGCCCACAGGAAATTTCTAAGGCGAACATCATTACTAATACAAATCCCTGCAGTTCGGCCTTTCCTCCGCCCCCAGGGTATTCTCAAAAATCCTGGCGGTCGTTGTGGCACATTTGTGTCACCAAGGAGTAATCATATTCCCTTATTTAGACAACTGTCTAATCAAAGGTCAATCTCATACCGAGACGACTACAATGGTCACTGTGGTCAGACGCACCTTCTGCGAATTGGGACAACTTATCAATGACCAAAAGTCCACTTGTCTTCCAACCCAGGACTTAGAAATAATTGGCGCCCATCTCGATGCCATCTCAGTGAGGGTTTATCTACCCCTCCAAAGCAGACCCCTACCGTCCAGTTATCACATGCCTCCGCCTTATGGGTCATATGGCTGCCACCACTTACGTGGTACGTCACGCCAGGCTCCACTTTCGCAGCCTTCAACACTGGCTCGCCCAAATGTACAATCATACCAACTACAAATTACACAGAATGGTGATTCCTCCACAATCCGTTCTCACGTCACTCACATGGTGGATGAACCCCAGAAATCTCCTCACAGGCATAGCTTTTCAACAACAGCAACCGTCGTACCACATAACTATGGACACTTCCCTTCTAGGATGGAGTGCACACATGGGCACATGTCAGTACCAGGCCAATGGTCAATTAGATGGAGTGCACACATGTCAGTACCAGGCCAATGGTCACCTTCAGAGGCACGTCTCCATATAAATCTCCTCGAGTTGCAGGCAATATATAATGCCTGCAAACACTGTCACGATCAGATCTGCGGATCTACGGTGAGGATTCTCACAGACCATGTAGCCTCTGTGTACTACGTGAAACATCAGAGAGGGGCTTGATCCCGTTCCCTATGCAGGGAGGCAATCCAGTTCTGGAACTGGTGTATTCACCATGCAGTAACACCTGTGGCATCTTACTTACCTGGAGCTACAAACACGACAGCAGATTTCCTCAGCAGACATTTCGCCCAGGAACATGAGTGGGAACTGCACAATGGAGTTCTCCGCCTTCTCTTTCACTGCTGGGGTACTCCTGCAGTAGATCTGTTCGCAACTCACAGCAACAAGAAATGCAGAAAGTATTGTTCCAGAGCAAGCATGGGTCTGGCCTCAGCGATGCCTTCTTGATCTGCTGGACTGGCCCTCTCCTGTATGCTTTTCCACCAACTCCTCTGATTCCCAGAGTCATCCAGAAGGCGAAATCAGACAAGGCCAGAATCATCTTCATAGCTCCAGCGTGGGCGCGCCAACATTGGTTCCCCTTCCTTCGACGCATGTCGCCTCTGCCACCATTCCCCCTCCCAGCCTTCCAGAACTTTCTCACCCAGAACAAAGGGTTGCTACACCATCCTCAACTCCATACGCTGAACCTGACCACATGGCTCCTCATTGGCTAAACCCCACAGAAGACCTCTGCTCCTCACAAGTTAAAGATATCCTCATTCACAGTAAATGACAAACGACTAGCAACACTTACCTGTCAAAATGGCGTCACTTTGTATCTTGGTGCACAACTCACAATGAATGTCTGGAATTGACCCCGCTTCCTGTCATTCTCGAGTACTTACTCCACCTAAAACAAACAGGATTCCAGGAGTGGGTGGGTGAGATTCTCTGGCCTGCATTGTGCAGGGGGTCAGACTAGATGATCATAATGGTCCCTTCTGACCTTAAAGTCTATGAGGATTGGCTCTGTCATCACTTAGAGCAGTGGTCCCCAACCATTTGAGGTTGCCGGACACCAGGGGGCATGGCTGTTCACCCGCCGGGTGCCAGGGGGCGGGGACACTTGCGCGCCCGGGGCGGCCCTCCCCCATAGCCGCATGCCCGGG